CACTCGCGAGGTCGTTTTTATGCGTTTTTGTCTGTATACAAATGCTAAAGCGCATATTGTGGCGACCCTTGTATGTGTGTATCGGCGTGTATATGTTTGTGTATGTTCGTCTGTCCGGGTATTTCAACTCGACAATTAAGCAAGCTCCGATGATATAATTTTGCCAGTGGGTTGTTATAATTTTGCCCATGTACAAATTAAAAATTTCAAACTCAATCCCCAGGTATGCCCTCGTGTCACGCATAGTCCTGTCAAAATTTTGGCGGAAAAATTGCTAACAAGAGAATCAGAAAAGCTGAAAAGTTGAAATTTTAACGGAATGTTTTCTGTCCAAGTACTACGCAGTCGCGCAATTAACTTTCCGGACTTCGAGGACTAGTATGTCACAAATTCTAGCTACTAGGTTCCCAAGCGATCTTCCTTCGGCACAAAATACTGCAAAAACGCATGATCGCATGGGCCAGCCTGATGCACGTCGCCAATGACTTTCTTATCTTCTTTACAGCTTATAAAAACTTCTATTTAATTTACGCATTTATATTTGCAGAAACTCCTCGAAGCTTCAGCGCCCGTACACTGAGCATTGTGTGGTGTGGATTTTGCATGATTATGGTGGCATCTTATACCGCTAATCTGGCTGCGTTCCTCGTTCTCGATCAACCGGAGCAGGGACTCACCGGTGTTACTGATCCAAGGGTCGGTTTTTTACTTAATTGGAAAAAACAACTGCGCCTCTTTCTGTATCAGACACATAGCGTGGAGGAGTACAGATTTTAACAAGCAAAGGAAATCGCTATATCAGTTTGGTACGGTTCCGCTCCGAACTGATAAATATTGTTTACCTAGCCTCAGAAGCAGCATACTGCATACTTGCTGCGTTTAGTTATGACAGAATTTGTGTGAAGAAGTCATGTTGCTAACATTCAGGAAGAAGTTCTACGCACTGAAGAATTTAGGGGCGATTTGTAGTGAGTGATGAATCAAGTGCAACCAATTTAGTGAGAAAATTTTTAAAATTTTTTTTATTAAAAAGACAAATGAATAATTTCAATCCTCTCTAAAGACAATTCCTAATAAATTCTTTTTCGAAAGCAAATCAACGAATTCTCCGCCTCGATTGTAGAACTATAATAACAAAGGCTTTTCCGTTTGGTAGCGCATCACTGATCTTTCAGCTTCGTAATCCATCAGCAAATTTTTCTTTTGGGACAGTTCTCGACACGAATACTTATCAGTATTTCAAGCGACACATTGAATTATCAACAATGCATCGGAATATGGAAACACATAATGTGCGCGTCGCTGCGGACGCTATCCAAGCGCTCATCAATGAGTTCGATTCTGAAATTTTCTTCCGATAACAAGATTCCTGATGAAATTTTTGCCTGTTCAGCAACAAATATAAGCAGCAAAATGCCCTGACGAATGAACCCTTACCAGTTATTGCTTGCGAACGGTTTCGAGCGCTCGGGTGTAATAACATTTCTACAACGGCACGAAGCGCCGAAAACTTTAAGCGCGTAGTGTGTGCTTCGCTCAATTTTAGTAGTAATTTGCTTGCATACAAAATTTTTTGTCACATTTGTGCTAGTAACAGGACATTGGATGCATTTATTTGGGATTCAACAAGACTCGAGTTTGAAGCAGCTAGAAACTGTGAACTAAGGATTCGTGGAGCTCTATTTGGCCGATCAGCTTATGGCATTGGACTGCAAAAGAATTCGCCATGGACACCACATATCACAAATGCTATACTTAGACTTTCGGAAAGTATATATTTACCACTAACTTTAAAGCGTTATGAGTGTTTTACAGGTGAAATACAAGGCTAGGCTACCAATCTCTCAGAGTCAACTGACAGGTAAGATCGGCAAATGAAATTGTCATAGAAAACTCATCAGAGATGAAACACAAACTGCATACTGGCCTATCTCTTACATGTTGTCTTTCACTCTGCTGACCTTATATTTCAAAAGCAACAATAATTCAGTCTGACTGAGCAATGGCCCTGTGAAAAATTGCCGTGCTGTAAGGGATTCTTTAAGCGCAAACTAACAGATATGCGTAAAAATTCAAAATAACCAGTGGCCACTTTCTTAGTTCCATTCGTTGGATGGCCTCGTCTCAAATTAGTGTTCGATATTATCGTTT